TTTGTATACGTACAGACACCAACATTAAACAGAGGCTGTGGTTTGGTGATGGGAGTGAGTGAGTTTTCTTTTCCTGTCTTTCTTTGTTTGTATTTTCTACAATGAACATGGATAATTTTTCTAAGAGGAAAACAATGTATTCTCAAATTGAGAGGTCAAGAGGTTTACATTTTGGCGTCCCCAGGAATCAATAATACCCAAGAACAAGAAATTCTGTCCTTCTGTGACGGTAGGTCTTAGTAACCAAGACTGTCTGAAAAGGAGCAGAGGCTGATGGGGGAATGGTCCGGGTTTCTTTTGCCTTGAAGATCCTTGGGAAATGTATTTTTGAATGTTTTCAAGTGTTCTTGATTTCAGCTTTTTAACTTATAATTCCAACAAAGCTTTTCCTTCCTTTTCAGAGTCTAGAGCCTGTGAAACAGTTCAGCAGCACCGTATTAGTCAGCTAGAGCTTTGTAACAAACAGCCACAAAATCTACCTGCTATGCTACAACCGGTATGCATTTTCCACACATCTACAGGCTGATGGCTCTCAGCTGCGGGTTGGATGTGGTTCTGCTCCCTGAGTCTCTCGCCCTCCAGGGACTGGTGAGCTGGCCGGGGCTGCTGCTTTTCAAGGCAATGGCAGAGGCACAAGAGGTCACACAGGAGCATGTGATGCCCCTTAAGGCCCAGACTCAGAACTGAAAACCGTCACTTGCACCCACATTCCATTGATCAAAGAGGCCACTGACTGAGCCCGGTGTCCCCCAGGCTCCCTCTGACTTCTGTGGGAGCAACTGCGGGCACACGGCGGGGGCACGGGGATGAGGAAGGGGAAAGGAAAGGATTGGGGTCCAGTTCCTTAATCCAGCCCCACGCACATCCACCCACAATCTCTGTGATCAGGTCACAGCGAGAGATGGCTGAACATACCCCGAACACTTTAAAAATAACAGTATTCCTCCACTGACTCTAAAAGTAACATATGCTTATACACTTACAGCGGAAAGGCATGAAGGGGAAAATTAAGATCACCATAATTCTGCTTCCTCAGTTGACCCCATTGGGATTCTGCTGCGTTTCCAGGCAGCACACTTATCGATTTACATACTCAAATAAACATAAGCATAGTTTTATATATAACAGAAAAGGGATCATACTTTATTTAATTTTGCCCTTTAATTTTATCTTTTTCACTTGATCTCATTTTGTGAGCTTCTTCTGGCATGATTAAATGTTATTTTTGAAATGCTCTTTTCCGGGGCTGTACCATATTTTAAAGCTGTGGGGTAAATCATCCAGGCCTGGGCTCTCCGACGAGGGAGCCACTGGCCATGGTGGTTCCTAAGCCTCTGAATGTGGCTGGTCTAACTGAAATGTGTGAGCGCCAAGGACACACCAGATCAGATTCTGAAGACTTCGTCCCCAAAAAAGAATGTGAAATATCTCATTAATAATGTTTATATTGATTACATGTTGAAATAATGTTGTGGATATGTTGGGTTAAACAAAATCTATTATTAAAATTGATTTCACCAGTTTCTTTTGACTTTTTCATGTACCTACTGGAAAATGAAAAATTGCGTACGTGGCTCACTTTTGTGGTTTTTGTAGCTTTCAACTTCTGTTGGATGGCACTGATCTAGACAATCCCCTATGGTGTGATATTTAAGCACTTTCAAATTTTATTCCATCCTAAACGACGCTGTAAGGAGCATCATGGAATGCAGTAATAGTCGGCGCTTACTGTGTTTTTCATACGCATGGCTCTGTGCTCAGCACTTTCCATGCATAACCTCATGGGAGCCTCAAGCTTCCCTCTCCAATAGGTGCTACTTCCATCCCCATTTACAGATGAGGAAACCAGGGCTCAGAGATGTCAGGAACTTGCTGAGGGTCACACAGCAGGTATTTAATTGGTGGTGCCAAGACAAAAACCCAGATTTGATTGGTTTCCGTGGTTTTTACCAGTAACTAACCCCCCTTTCTGTGTGTCTTCCTGATAATTGCCTTGGGATGAATTTCTCGGAGTGGGAGTTGTGGGTCAAAGGGTTTGCACGTTTCAAGGCCCTTGGGGCAGATTGTCAACACACCTTCCAGAGAGGTGTTAATTCAAACTACAAACAGCAGTCTATTAGCTCAGCAAATATCATGGAGCGTTTACTGTGAGCCGAGCACTGTTGTGTGTGCTGGGGACAGACACGACCCTGCCCTCCTGGGGTCCCGTGGCCCCTGCTCCGAGGGCAGGAGAAGGGCACAGGCACTGAAGGGGGACACTATACTTTCAGGTCGACAGAAATGTGCATTGTGAAGTGAACAAAGCAGAAGGTGGAGCAGTGATGGGGGTAGGGCGGGATGGGCAGGGGGCTCTGCTTTTTAAGTAGGGTTATCCCCCGAGGGCTTCTCAGAGGAGGTGGCCTTGAGCTGAGCCCTCAATAACCAGAGGGGGACATTAGGGGAAGAGGTTCCAGGCAGGAGATACAGCAAAGGCAGAGTCACCAAGGAGGCACCTAGCCCCCAATTCAGTCAGAGGAACAGGGAGAAGGCGGGCGTGTCTGCAGTGTGGTGAGTGAGGGGAGGGCAGGGAGGAGGCCAGAGAGGGCAGGGAGGGATAAGACCACGGGGAGGAGATTAAATTTTACTCTAAGTGCAGCGGGAAGCCCTGGAAGGCAGCAGACCCACATTTTGTGGGACCTGAAACATACAGTTTGGGGCATTTTCTTTAAAAGAGCCCAGAATCAGGAGTCAAAATTAGCTACATAACTGGATGTTTATTTAGAATGAGAAAAGAAATCACGGTATCTTTCAGATTTCAAAAAGCTCAAAATTACCAAAAACATCACAGAATTGAGGAAAATAACACTGCATTTTTGAATTAGCATCCTGACACACCTCCAGAACACTCTTTCCCCACATCTTTGAGCTGCGTCCTCTCAGATCACATCTTCTGTGGCAATAATTTGTGACATCATTTTCTGTAGAGAGGATGGAAAGATAATTTAGTCTTTCCTCTGGCAGAGTTTGATAGAAATTGTTTTTTTCTTATTGATGGTTTAGGAATGTTTTATTTCCATCCTCGCATTTCATTATTGATGAATTGTCCTGTAAATTTTCAGGGTTGTGGTCAAACCTGGGAAAACCTCTATCATAGAGAAGATATGTTTATCTATCTCTCATATAGAAGATATGTTTCATATAGAAGCTGTGAGATTTCAGCACTTTTGAAAGCTTCTTGAGCAACCATGGACCCCAATTAATCCTTGAATTGATGATGCCCACTGAGCACAGTGCTGGGCCCTCCCAGGGCCTTAGAAGGGGCCCAGGATGTGGCAGGCTCTGAAGCTAAAGCCACATGTAAACTCATTCCTAACTGAAAGAGATTCAGATGGAGAGGGAAGGGTCCCCCCACAGCAGAGGGTTCCTGGGTCATCAGGGAGGAGCAAAGAGGCTGCAGGGATGAAGTGGAGGGAGCGACGGAGGGGGTATGGGACAGGAGGGCAGAGAGCACTGACGGTCCACAGCAGCCAGGGCTTCACAGGCCTGTGAGACGAGGAGCCTCGCAGGGTCCTGGTGCAGAGGGATGACACGAGGTGCCTCACATTTAGCAGGACCTCCCTGCCTACTGCGTTGAGTGTGGGGGCAAAGGAGGAAGGGGGGAGCCCAGTCTGGAGGCCCGCAGTGCTATCTGGGCAAGAGACAGTGATGGCATGGACCACGGTCACAATTGTGGTCACAGTGCAGCTGGGGAGAAAGAGACAGATTCTGGATGTGTGTTGAAATGGAGCCAACAAGGTCTGTTGACGGATTCGCTGTGGGATGTGAGAGAAATACAGGAGTCGGGGGTGACTTTCGAGTACCGGAAGGATCAGATTGTTGTTCAACGATTTGCGGAGGCTAACTTCCGCATGTGAGTGTCCCTGAAAGGCTGGGCAGGCACCTTCTGATGGGCTGAGGAGGGGTGGAGGTGGGGAGTGCCCACAGGAGACCCAGTGCCCCGATTCAGCAAGCCATGCTCAATTCTTGACCACCGAAAGCTGCGGGGACATCTCACCCGCCTTGGACAAAGGAAATGACGTATCTGGGGTGAGGATGTTTGAGATGACAACCCAAATGGAAGCTGGGACCATCTGCTCCCCACCCCTTCTGCTCCAATAAATGGTCAGGTCTATTCAGAAGTAAATAATCACCATCAAGGAACGAACACAAGAGCTTGTACAGAGAAACAGCCCCTCATGAAGGAAATACCATGAGAAAAAAGGAACATAACCAAAAGTTAAATGAAGAACTTACTTCATAAGAAGAGCTACCCTCCCCCACCCCCAAATAAATAGAATTACCCAAGAACCACAAGAAATGCTTAGGCAAGCTAGCAGGATGGCCAGACACGAAACAAAATGAAAAACTGAAAGACCCAAGGGCTCGAAGAAGAGTTATTGATGAGAGCTACAAAAAGAAAGTGTTGAAAAATGAGCTGGTGTATCTTAAGAAAGAAAAGGAGGAAATTAATGAACCCGTTCCAGAGACGATGCCATAAAAGTCAATAAAAGTGAGCAAGCATGAATGGAAATGCCACCAGGGGCCCAGAAAATCGGTTTCAGGAAGTCATTTGAATGAAAATGGAACAGAACGAAGTTCAAGAAATGAATATAGACGTTCCTCGGCCGGCCCTGCAGGGACCGGGCACAGCACGACTTCCAGCAGGGCTGTCCAGGTCACGCTGGGCTGCAGCGGTGGCTGTAGCATGGTGACCACTCCCAGGGCCCTCCCCTGCGGTGACCTGCTCCGCTCCAACAACATTAGCTTGGTCTGCCCACAGACACTGTCCACCTACAGCCCCTCACCCACTGGCCAGAGCATTTCACGGCTACAGAGGCCCTTGGTGAGGTTACGAGTTATGTGATTGGGAGAACAGTCCCCATAGCTGGGGGGGAGTGGCACAAACTTCTCTGTTGTTCTGGAATTTCCATGCCTTGGTTTGGCTGCGAAACTAATGGAGTTATTAGAGGACATTTCAAAAGGAAAGGGTCATATTATTTTTATTGGTCTCTGTCAGTCAGGTTGCAGTCGACACGGACCAGCAGTTGGGCTCAGCGTGCACAAGACCATCTCAGAGTCCTACTCAGCCTGCAGCGAAGACGCCTGCGGGGCGAGGACAGCATTCTCGGGGGACCTGGAGGAGAACTCCGTCATCCCGCCACCGCGTCCCGGGAGGCTGACGATCCTGAGTCCTGCGGTTCTCAGGCAGGCGCTCCAGTAGTTTGTGGACAGTGTTATTTTCTTTGGACCATCTTTGGGCCTCTCGTAGGATACAAATAATCCTTAGAGCGTAGAGATTTCAAAAAGATACAGGGTATAAAGTCATTCTCGTTGTTTCCAATTAGCAATATTGTATCTACTGAAGCCATTTGCTGTAATAAAATGCAACAAAAAAGGCAGTTAGATCAAGAGAAGACATTTTCCATCATGGTTCACAGTATTAAGTACATCCAGGTGAAAAACTATATATATATATATTAGTTTTGTATATAGATAAAACTGTAAAAACTATAGATATAGTTTTATATATGTGTGTATATACACACACTATATACGTACTGTATACTATATATAGTCTATATGCTATATATTATATACTATATATATACTATGTTCTCTGTACACATACTATCTATATATAAAATTTCTTCATTGAATTATTAGTTGAAGCTTTAAAGTCATATGTGAAATGTATAAATCTAAGGTGTATAATAAAACACATTGTTGACTCTAAGAGAAAAAATGAGTATAGAGAGGGTGACAGACACAGGACAGACCAAGGAGCTCTGATCCATGCGCAGTGCTTCAAGGAAGAGAAGGCAAGGACTCAGGCAAAGCAGTGTTCGAGAGCCCAGGTGTCCCACGAGGTCAGGCCGCCTGTACCGGCAACTGATGCCTTGCCCACACGGGACTTGAAGCTGAGAGCACAGATGCGATTCCTGCCTTCAGGAGCTCTCGAGCCTGTGAGGACCACAGGCAAATAAACAGATGATTAAAAGAAACTGGAGAAATTCTAGAAAAGAGGTTAGCATTCATCCTCTGGAGCAGATGTGTGTCAGACACTGGGCCCAGCCTCGCAGGAACCCTGGCAGGTTGCTCCTGTGGAGAAATGTGTCATCAGAGGGTTGAGGGTGACTTGCCCAAGGTCACGTGGCTGGCAAATGATAGAACCAGGATCTGAAGGCAGGTGTGTCTGCTTCCAAGTTCATCCTCTTTCTCCTTGAACGTGCTGCCTGCAGTCTCACATCAGCTCGAAGACCCATCACTCTGTAAGGAAGGTACCAGTGATGCTGAGTCCCATGGATCTTGTTCCAGCATTCACTCTGAGGGGCCTGGGTCTCCCTGGGGCTGGGGAGGAGGACAGGACTGGTCCCTATGGGAGGAGCACAGGTATGTAAAGACTTCATCTAGGGAGGGTTTCCATGCCCAGGCAAGTGAGGCTTAGAACAGCAAGCGCCTTCATCCAGCAAAGTCATGCCCCAAGGCAAAGGCTATTTGCAAGACGAACAATGGAGCATCTCAGACCACAGGCTGCATCCAGGATGTGCTGAGAATTCAGGACCACAGGACAGGGAGGGAGGCCAGCAGTGACAGGGGACAAGTGCCAGAAAAAAAAAGGGGAGGAAACAGGTCTCCTGAAGAAAGAGTATTTAAAGACCATCCTGTGTGGGACAGAAGGGAGACGCAGGCTGCCCGCCTCTGCTTTAGGTTGGCCCGAGGGGTCTGGCCGCCTCTGTTCAGACCATCTCTTGTAGCCCCAAGGACAGAAGACACGATGTGAGAATGATTGTGCTGGAGATATAACAATAGTTCTTTGAGTCTGGCACTGGGTCCCTGGGAGCTTGCCGAAGTCTCTCTCTAAGGCTTTGTATTATTAAAAACAAAACCAAACAGCAAAAAACAAAAAAGCGCATTTATCTGTTGGCCTTTTCATGGTCTTACCTGCTTCTAGTGCCTGTTGCTGTGACCTTGACCGAAGTCTCCTTCCCATGTCCCTGAGTCCCAGGTCTGTTAGCAGGTCAAGGAGAAGGGACTAGGGAACACAGCTTGGGGGCATCTTCAGAGAAGGAGCAGTGAAGAGCAGAAACAGAGTGGACAGAAGAGGGCCACCAGGGAGCACAGGGTCCTGGCTGACCAGGGAGAGGGTGGGCGTGGGGAGAGGGCGGGAGCTGACAGCCAAGGCAAGGACTTGCTGGTGAGGCCTTACCATGGAGAGAGTCTCACTAGCAGGGGGGCCAGGAGCCAGTTTGCAAAGGGGTAGAAAGCAAGTGGGGGGGGGGGGGTGGGTAGTGAGTGCAGAGTCCTGGGGCGCTTGAGTCCCAGAGTTCTTGCATCAGCCCCCCAAACCCCAACGGCCTGTCTCAGACCCCAGCTCCAGGGGACCAACCTGCCCCACCCCCTCCCCACAGCCTTCTTTCTACCTCGGAGCCGGGCTTTCCTCCTGGAATACTCTCCTCCCCTCCCGACATCAGACCCCGGTGTGGTTTTCTTTTTCAAGACATTAAGGAGGTTTGACTATGAGTTCATTGAAATTTCTCCATCCTCAGTATACACTGGATATTACATGTCTCATCTTCTCCTTATTTTTTTCCTCCTAAAATGTCAAGATGCTCTTTTTTTAGAAGTACTGCATGGAGATAAAGGAGCTGAGAGGGTAATTTTATCCTATTTAAAGATAACCTGGAGCAGATGGGAGTAAATGCACCCACTTGGAGCCCATGATTTCTTCTCCCTTCTCCTCTGGGGTCCTGCCCTCCCTCCCACCCACTCACAGGCTGCCAGAGTCTGCCTTCCAGGCATCCTGGGAGCCAGTCTAGGATGGCAGGGCGGGGAGGGCAGAGATGGGGACAGGCTGGCGCCAAGAGTGGGTACAGGACTCCAGCAAACGCACAGGGAGGAGGCTGGGAACCCGGCCTGCTGCGTCCCGAGGCCCAGGGTCCTGGCAGTGTGGCCTCCGCTGCCCTGCTCTTCACTCTGGGCCTGAGGGGAGGTGCAGGTCACTGGGGGAGGCCGGGTCGGCCACGCCCCTCCCCAGGAGCCCGCACGTGCCGCTGGGTCAGGCCAAGGAATTTGCTCTTCTGCCAGAGTCAGGGCTAGGAGGCCTGAGGCTCATTGTCCCACAGAAAACTGAAGACAGTGAGCAGGGGACGTCCCCGCGTCCCTCGGCCAGTTGGTAGCAGAATAGAACTCTACTCTGTTCGCGGGAACAGCGCTGCTTCTGCTCTTCCTCTTTGGCGGTTCCTGGGAGCGTTTCCAGGAATCCGAAATCTAGAAACCGCCTTTTGATATTAATATTGCATTTCTTCAATTCTGGGGCATACATTTCAAACTGTCCAAAAGAAGATGCTTCTTTCAATTGATCTAGACATTTAATTTCATCCTTCTTTCTGTTTTCTTTCCCCCTCAGAAGCTGTTATTAAATTGCTGAGGTAACTTCTGATAGATGGTATCCTAGAAGAAAGAAAATAGGTTAATGGTGAAAAATAGTTCGAGTGCTAAGAACTATTCTTTCCGTTGGTTTCTGTGTTCCCAGCACTGTGCTAAATGCTGAACTTGCCATTCCTCAGTTAAGCCTCTCAACAACCGCATGAGGTGGGGACGAGCGGAACCCCACTTCACAGCTGAGGAAACTGAGTCTCAGGGAGGTCCCCTTACCCGCCCAAGGTCACACAGTAAGTGGTGGACTTGCGATTCTATTTAAAGCCGGGCCACGTGGTTCCAGAGCCTGCAATGGACACATGACATCACCGTCTACATTTATATCACGATTACCACCTCGTTCACTCTCTCACTCACTAATGCTCGCTGGACACTGGTGTCACCAAACTGATGGTTTAGTGAGGGACATCAGTGTCTGCTTCCTGCCTGAGACCAAGTCAGCTTTCTCCCCCTGGGGCTGAGGGCCCCAGTAGTAGAATGAGGGGCTGGACCCTCAGAGCCTTCCCACTCAGATCTGATGTCCAGCCGGCCGAGAAGCATCCGTCCCCAAAGCAGCCAGTGCTTTTCCACCCCTGGTTTCCAGGAAAGCCCCCATGCCCAGGAATAGGCTGTGAGACCACACACTCTGCCCTTTCTGCCCACAGTGCCCAGCAGAGGCCGTTGCAATCCAAGGACAGTGTTTCCACTCTCGGGGGCCCCAGGCCCTCCCCTGCTGCCTCCTCAGCTGCTTACACTGGACACTAGACAGAACGCCCAGGACAGGGGCACAGCGTCACCTCCCACGAACTCCCCTCCTGCAGGAAACAGGTGCTGACTCCCTGGGAGAAGCCCGGGGCCCTGGGAACGGGGCACGTGCACATAACTGGAAGTATCTCTGACACCCTACTGACGGCTGTCCCCCACCACTCTGTGCACAGTTGAGACAGTAGAGAGCAGGAGCTTTCCAGAACTGCACTGTGAGCCCAGGACCAAGGCGTGTGTGGGGTGGGGGTGGGCATGGTGCATGGGGGCGGGCTTTTCAATGAAATGACGGACAGCTCTTGCTCTCCAGGTAGCACGTCTTCTGTGCCGCCACGGCAGACAGCTCTCTGAGTAACAGCAGATTTGTACGTCATGGGGACACGTTAGCCAAAAGATCAATGATGCTCTGGAACTGCTCTGCTGGTCCCCGGGGGCAGAGGAGCCTGGGGAGACGCCTGCAAATATCCAGCCAAAGATAGGCAGCTGCTGACAGATGCTGGATTCGCAATCACAGCGCATTGATTTCCAAAGTGATGCTGAAACTGAGTGAGTTTCACTGGCCTCCGTGTTTGGTCTTTGTGAAGAGGGGCCTTTTGTAATGAAGCCGTTCTGCTTTTGTAATGAAGCGGTTCCCTCTCTGGGGAGGCAGAGCAGGCTCTGGATCTGCCGTGTGCAGGGTGGGAGTGGGTGCTCCAGCAGAGCATGGGAGAGCCTGCTTTGCCATAACTAGCTATGCAACCCCGGGCGTGTTATTTCACCTCTGGGAGTCTCAGTTGCCTCCTCCAGGAGTAATAACAGAAACAGGATTATTTCTGTCTTACATCTCTATATATAATCAAATGACATAAGCCATCTATGTGTTTAGTGTGATGCCTGGCACATGGTAAGCGATCAATACATTTTTGAGTTATTCTCATTCATATGCCGCAGAACCCTAGAGTGAAAGGGAACATAATGCCAGCTTTTCTCTGAACAGAGGAGGAAACTGATGCCCAGAGAGGTTAAGCGGCTTGACCAAGGTCACACAGCTCAGCCAGACTCAGAGCTTGGCAGGTCAAGGCCAGTTCAGGTTCCCCCTCCCACACCAGGCCAGGAGGGTCTATGGGGCTGTGGTCCACGTCTAACACTGCCTGTGGTGGGACAGGAACTTGGCTGGGCGTTAGGACACTTGGGTTATTTAGGCTCAAGTCTGCCACGAATTTGCTGTGTGACCTTGGTCAAGCCGAGTGTTTTAATGCCCAGCCTAGGTCCTTAAAATGGTGTCTTCAGAGTGTGAGGGCATTAGTCGTCCAGCCTGGCGGGGCCTGTGCGTTCGCCCTGCGGCTGCTCAGAGCAACCCTTAGTGGGGCGTCCAGGCCCTCGCCGAGCCCTGAGGGAGAGGTAGGATCAGACAGCCTCCCGCTCCAGCCCGGGTTTCTCCCGCGGGGGACGGGGGTCTGAAAATCACAGGCTGTCGGACAGAGCAGGGCCCCCGAGTGATCTGTTGAAGGCCGGCTGGAGCGAGTGGTGAGATTCAGAACACTAAACAGGGAGCGGGTTCACGGTGACGGCACGGTGGAGCAGGAGTGAAAACACGCATGAGAGGGTTGCGTGAGCACACGCTCCAATCCCATTTCAACACCAGGAAATCGGGCACAGAGAGGTCGAGCGGCCTGCCCGAGTGCAGAGCAATTCACCAGAGCCCGAGTCAGGAGCGGTCTCCCAGCTGGGAACACAGCAGGGGAAGACCGAAGAGGAGCAAGGGCCACAGAAGGAACTTCAAGGAGCCACCAGCAGCGGGCCCTGGGGCCGGGCCAGAACTGCAAGGAGGACTCAGATTGGAGACCTGCGGTTCTGCAGGGTTTCCGAGCCCCACAGCCTGTGGGGTCACAGCATCAAGGGTGTATGAGAGACTTGAAGGAGACTGGCCATCCCCGCATTCTGCTCAGTGGCAGCAGAGCCCCCCAGAACGCAGAGGCTGCCTGAACCCCCACCCAAGGTCTCAAGGAGGCACCTGGCAGAACAGCCCCACCCCACTCTCACACCCTGCTGCTCCCCCGGGGCCTCCCCCACATCCCCCTCCTTTCTCTCCCGCCTTCCCCCCTTCCCTTCCATGCCTGGGGGTTTATTTTCAGAACCTCAGAATCCTTCCCAAGCCGCTGACATTTACTCTTTGGAATTAGAACATTTTCCATTTCTCCTTCCCAGAGCGAGGCTGCTGGGTGAGAGTTCCCGCTTCCCGCCTGCCCTTCCTGAGGTGAAGGGCCCGAGCAGAGCCAGCTTTTGTCAGCACAGTGCTGACTGTGTCCGCCTGCAATTCTTAGGCACCCGCTGTGCACCAGACCTTTCTCACGCATTACCACAGTCACTCCGTGTAAAAACCCTGTGGGGTTGGCGTCACCGTCCGCACACGACAGATGGATGAGCCGAGCCGTGCAGCACTTCAACAACAAGTCTGAGGTCACAGGCAAGTGAGAGGCAGAGCAGGGGTAAAACCACACCTCTCTGGCTCCACAGTCCATTCCCCTCCTCTGTGCTCGGCCTTCAAGGTCCACGGGTGCAGGTGCACTGAGGAGGGGCAGCATCTGGGGAGACCAAGCGTTTAGGGGACAGGGCACCAGGCAGAGGGAACAGCAAGAACAAAACATCTGAATGGTCAGTCAAGGGTGAGGTGGCAGGGGCACCTGCCCGGGTGAGTCATCAGCCTCGGATTTATGGCCTCGGGAGCACGTCTCCGTCCAGGGTTGCCAGGACGCCTCTATTTGGACGCATCAAGACAGTTTTCTCTGCCGTCCCCGAGCAGGTAGGTGAGCCACCATGCCGGGTGGCACAGTGGAATGTTGACGGGCCAACAGTGACCCAGAGAAAGACACTCCATTCAGTGAGCCAGTGGTTTCCAACCGCCCCAGACCTCCCCAGGGCCTTGGTTTCCCTCACAGCTCGCTGTCACATCAGACAAGTGGAGAGCCCAGCCGTGTGCTCATTGGGAATAAGGTCGGGCCATGCAGGAGCACCGCAAGCCTTGCTTTCCTCATCTGTAAAATGGGCATGACAGGAACAGGATGGCAGAGACTGTCACTCTCTGGTATTTACATTTCTCTAATATTTGCACTCTTTAAAACAAGCATATATTTTCCTTTATAATGAGAAAATAAAATGTAAGGGAAATATAAATAAATAAAATTAAGAAAGATAAATGGAGCCAGCCCTGGTGGTCTAGTGGTTAAGATCTGGTGCTCTAACTGCCATATCCTAGGTTCATTTCCCGGTCAGGGAGCCACACCACCCGCCTGTCTGTTGTCACACTGTGGTGGCTGTGTGTTGCTGTGATGCTGAAAGCTATGCCACCAGTATCTCAAATTCCAGCAGGGTCACCCATGGAGGGCAGGTTTCAGCGGAGCTTCCAGACAAGACAGACTAGGAAGAAGGACCTGGCCACCCACTTCCAAAAGAATTGGCCGTGGAAACACCACAAATAGCAGTGGAGCATTGTCTGATAGCGCCCTGAGAGGTGAGAGGATGGTGCAAAAAGACCAGGTAGGATTCCACTCTGCTGCTTCGATTTTCCTGAATAGACTTAAGGGCACTAACAACAAATGTACATAAATAAACCTCGGCCCCTCACTGGATTGTACTGAGGGTTAAAGGAGATCATACGATGCCCACAGCTCAGGGCTGGCACATGCTGGGCATGTGATGCCTGCAGCTGCCAGGCTGCTCCAATTATTGTGGCTGATGATGGTTGCTGCCATTGGAAATCGAGGTTTTTGTCATGGGTGTTGGCTGTGTGACTTTGGGCAAGTGCTTCAACCTCTCTGGCCTTGGCAGAGTCATCCCTAAAATTAGAGTGGTAGGAAACTTCCTCAACCTAATAAAGGACATAATAGAGGGAAACCCGCCAGCTAACATCACACTTAATGGTAACGATTGAATGTTTCTCCTCTATTATCAAGAGCAAGACAAGAATGTCCACTCTGGCCACTTCTATTCAGCATTGTTCTGGGGGTGTTACCCAGAGCAATTAAGCAAGAAAAAGGAATAAAAGTCATCCATACTGGAAAGAGAGAAGTAAAATTATCTTCTTTCACAGAAAACATGATCTTAAATGTAGAAAATCCTAAGGAATTCACAGAAAGACTATTAGAACTGACAAATGAGTTCAGTAAGATTGCAGGATATAGGATAAATATACAAAGATCAGTTGTGTTTCTATACACTAGCAATGAACAATAAAATGTCTACAAATTAAAGTAAGGAATCTGTGACCAATTGCTTTTAACAAGAGCGTCAAG